ATTATTATCATTATTTTAATGTGAGAACGCTAGAACAACACATATCCTGTGTTACAACATTATAAGAGCTTTAATTAATTGTTACGTTTTTTTGTTTTTTAGACAAATATGCACAAAGTTCTCTGGTTTCAGCTTCTTTTTTCTGGTTTTCATATAGTCTGCCCTGATAATTAACTTAATAACTTTGGTTTCTAGACTGTCATTCAGAAAAAGAAAACATCACCTTTGGGCTTTGAAAACTAATTTATTGACAATTTATGGACTTAATGAATAATTAATCAAGGAACTAATCTGCAGTTAAGTAATCGCTAATGAGAATTATTAGTATCTAGTATCTCCCAGCTCTACCTACTGTATCTGAGTTTGTGTGTATGAGCACACGCCGGGCAACCGTGTGTGTGTGTGTGTGTCTGCTGGGCTGGGTGGAGGCTGTGGGGGAGGGGCTACCTGCTGTCAGAGGAGGATTTCAGCCTGTCACAGCAGGTTTCAGCCGTCTCCAACGTGGAGGGGTCCGTCTTTATGGAGGTCTCTGCTGTGCAGCTAAATCCCCCTGAAAGGTAAAAGCAGAAACTACATCCACAGAGAGAGGGGTGTTACATTTTAATCTTGTGGATGGATAGCTTCAACTCTTCAGCAACAGCTTGTCAGGTCATTATTTTAAGGGCTATGTTATGTATGTCCTGAAGCGTTGTACAGAGACTTACTGGTGTCTTTGGGAAAAGTTTCACATCGTTGGAAATATACTTATTCACTTTCTGGTGTAGAATTTGAGGAGGAGATCAATATTGCTCTCATTCCTGTCCATTAAATACAAACTCAATCAGGTGAACATAAGCTTGGCACCAAGATCAGAAACAAGGGGAAATGGCTATCCTGGTTCTGCCAAAGGGTAACAAAATCTGCCTGCCAGGGTTAGGGTTACCTCTAAAGCTCTTTAATTAACATATTATCTTTATTTTATATATTTTATTTATATTTAACGGACAAACATGAAAGGGATTTCGATCTTCTCTACTATCTCTGCCAAAGAGTGAATAAGTAAATCTTCCCAGTAGAGGGAGCATGAGTGACCAGTGAGGAAAAAGGTGTTTGAGGCCGGTGTCTCTCCTGATCCTTCAGGAGTCCGGGGTCCTGGTCCTGGTTTGTGTGTTGAAGGTTTACCTGCAGTCCAGTCTCTGCTGAGCCGTCTGCTCACCCACCAAGGATCTCACTTACAGGCCAAAGTTGCTGTTGTAGCTAAGATAAAAAACATTTTTTTTTAACTCTTTTCCTTTCGCTTCATTGCCTTTTTGTAATTGCTTGCTTTTATTGCAGTCTGCGTAGTCTGCAGTGTTTGTTTCAGATCAGCTGGGTCTGTGTTTGGTAGGGCAGGTGTTAACCTAATTATAATAACCTTTTAGTTACTCCTTTTTTTTTTTGCCTCCCTGGGAAAATCAAAGCAGCTGCTTCTTATAGTCCCACCACCTCTACCAACTACTTTATTGTCTGGTCCACTTCCCCAAACCAAAACTAAACCAAATGTCAAGAGAAAGCATGTGTTCCTGTTTCAAACTGGGATTACAGGGTGAGGATTTTCATTCTTTACTGTCCTGATTCAGGGAGTTTCCACTGGAGAGAGCACATGACTTTCTCTTGTCATTTGGCAACTCATCCCACTGTGGTTTTAACAATGGAAATAAATTGTGCCGCAGCTTTCATTGTGTTAGATGTTGCTCCCTCTGTTTTCTTGTCGCGTTTCTCTTTCTCCCCTCACCTGCTCTCCGTCTCTTGCTCCCTCTCACAGGCACATGGCTCAGGCGGACCTGAAGAACTCCACCTTCTGGCTGAGAGCGAGCGTCGGTGCCACAGTGTGCGCCGTTCTGGGCTTCGCCATGTACAGAGCACTTCTCAAACAGCGGTGATCAGACAGCATGAGACACCCACTTCCTCTCCCCCCCCTCCTCCCTCGGGTCCGTCTGTTGACTCTGCCCCTTCCCTCCTACCTGAAAGACTCAAAAAGACTGGCCTCAGCCTCCAACTCCAACTCATCCCCTTCCCACAAGACGAGCAAGAAACAAATGAGCAAAATCCTAGGTAGATTTTATATGCATTTAAAAACAGAGTGTGGTTTAGTTTTTTGGTTTATGTTGTGGGGAAAGGGGACAGGGTACTTTTGAACTCTCACTTGTTCATCGGTCAATTTGTAAATTCTGACATTCTGTGATCTGTTGGTCTAGTCTAATCTAGTCCAGGGTCAGACACTACTAGTCTTTTTTCCTCAGGTCAGTATTATAAGTTGGAGACCAGAGAGAGGCAGCCATACACAGAAACGCCACAAAGGGACTTGAATCTGTTTATAGATGTGTATATGCAGTATATTATGTACGTATTCCTCAATAATTTTAGGATTTGGATCCATAGACTGCTTCACCAGCTAGAAGCAACACCTGCAGGAGGTTTTTAGTGCTACATCTAATACTAGAAAAAGGTCATGGATGACATTCACTATTTCATTTTGTGTGTTAATTTATTAACCTGTTTTTGTTTTCCGGTCTGTTTTTTGAGTGCACTGCATGAAACGGATTGAGGGATTTACATTTTCCATGTATTTTTGTATTTAGTATTATGAAAGCTGTCCTCATCATGACTTTTTTTCTGCTTCTGTTTTTAATTTTTCGGTTTTCGAATAGAGCTTTGTCCCTCGTTATATTTTTATGAAGTTAGAGGCACCATAGAGCAAGAAAATTATGCTACTAACAACAGCCATTCAACGCACCTCTCCCACCTTAAAACTATGAAAGTGTTTCTTCTCATTCTTATCTTTTTCCAGCATTTACAATAAAGAATTGTATGATCAGGCACTGCTGTTTATGCGTGTTGTTGGGTGAAATGACAGCTAATTTAACAGCGAAAATGGAAAATAAAATGGTTTTAAATATCTGTAATAAATAACATTTACACCCACTGATGTCACTGTGTTTGTGTGTCCTTTATGAAAGGTGTAGTGGAGTTGCTCATTTCAAAAGTGTGTGCGTAAATTGAACGTAAGATGAGCTGTTTGTGTGACGAGCTGGGACTTCTGTGAATCCAGTGAATAGAGAAGTGAGTAAATGATGCGGCTGTGAACAATACTGCTCTAAGCCCGTGTGAGGAGGAAGTACCACCACATTCACAGGTAGATAGACAACTGGTAGCCACAGAGGGAAATACACAGAAGGGTCAACATGTCTGTAGATGGGACTAAGTTATTGTTTGAGAGCTTCCTGCAGAAAAGAAAAGATACAATGGTAAGTTACACTCTCTTGGTATTTAATGTGAGTGTATACTGACTAACAAAAAAAGTGACTTTTGGTTGCTATATAGTTTTGTTTTCTGTCTATAGAAACTAAGGTGGGTGACATATTGGTTCAGGCTTCAAAATACAACCTTGTTCTTCTATACGCAGAAGAATGGCAGCGCTGTAAGTAAACATTTGCTGTGGTGTACAAGTGTTTATTAATCAATTGAAGGATGGTTATGGTACTAAATGGATATAATTGACAAAGCTAGTTAACTTTTTAAAGATCTCAATGACTGAGGTTATGGTGTTGATTTGCTCTCTTCACAGTTACACTTGAGAGGCAATTACTACATTTACACAGTAAGTCCTCCATTTATTACAGTCGATATGAGAAATCACTTTTCAGTTGTAGAAAGAGGAACTTTCACTCAATTACTGCACTTAATTACATATTTATGGTAACTACTTGAGTAATTCTACTCCAACCCCTACAGACTAAGACTGGTTTAACTCTAACCTACAATGCACAAACTTTTTGCACTATTTATATTTCATTTCCGCATGTACAGTTTTTATTTAGTCAAGCTGCTAAAATATTTGCACACCATTCCTACTTTATTATGCATAGTGTATATACTTTCATTTATAGTCTTAAATTTTCTATTATATTTTACTTTGTGATATCTTGTTGTACCTCCACTTTTGTACTCTCTTTTTGCACTACATTGCCCTATGCTGCTGTGTCAATCTTGAATTTTTCCTAAAGTGGATCAATAAAGGAACATCTTATCTTATTCCATTTAATGCTACTTTATATTTCTTCTTACAAGTACATCACAGTGGCAAATTGTACTTTTTACTTCACATTTATTTGGCAGCTTTAGTTACTTTACAGCTATAGATTATTAATACAAAATACAATCAACAAATACACTGTATTATTATAGATTAGGTTATTAAGACAACAGTATATAACGTAGATAAAGTTAGCCCCACTTTTACAAGTAATGTGTACTGCATGCATGCATCAATAGATATAACCCAATAATATACTAGAATATTATAAAATTGTATTCTTTAATGTGCCATTGAGCATTATTGGTGTTTTATATTATTATGTACTTTATGTATATTATTATGTTAGTATATTTAGATGTTTATACTGATGCACTTTTTGAATACGTGACATTCTCGTGGTAGAGGATTTAGAGTACTTCCTCCATTACTGTTGCTTTGTCTCTAGTTAAGAAACATTAGATGATGACGTAGTATCTACTAAAGACAGTTTCTATCTAAATCCACCTCCTGGGCCAGGTGCAGTCAGTGCGAGAAGTCCTGAAAGCTGACAGCAAGCGCTTTATGTTTGAGATCATCATGACAAATGGAAAGAGAAAATTGTTGGTAAGTAACTGCTGTGGTTTAGACTGCCTCATTTTTTTTAAGCTTAAAACTGTGTCACCTGTGTCTCCAAACCACTATATATGTGTGTGGTTGTGTGCAGGCAGCAGATACAGCAGCACTTAGACAGCAGTGGGTAGGATACCTGTGGCAAGCCATGCATCTTTCTACCTCCAGGGCCTCAGAGTCCAGAAGCTCACAGTAAGTAAGAAGGGTACTTTCCTTTTCCTTCCTGCCTGAACTTGAACTAAAATAATCCACGTTTGGTCAACTTGACTCTTGACGTGCATTTAGGACCATTTCTCTTCTCCTCAGCCCTGAAGTGCATGAGCATCGAGAGAGAGTAAACAGCAGTGCACCCACCTGCTCACAGAGTAACAGAGTGACGGTGTCGCTGCCCGCTCGGCCCCTCTCTGCCCCTGCCCCTACAGGCCATATCCACCATGAGATCAGGAGCAATGCCTTCCCCTTCTACCAGTCCGAGGAGCTGGCTAGTGAGGAGAACTCGTACCAAAATATACTCCCAGCCTGTAACTACCAGGATCACAGTGGTATACTTTAATTTTAATTGCAAATGTTTATTATTGAGACTTTAATTGAGTTGTACTTTCAGCTACATGGTGCTAACTACTCTGTTTTTTTTTTAGGTGACACTCCCAGCATTCCTCATTGGTCCAGTGAGTTGACAAGTGGAGAGGGACAAGAGGGAGACTATGACGTTTTACCAGTTAGAAAAAGTATGATCTTAAATATACTTTTGTATTTGCCATCTGCCATAACACATGATGATGGTTAAATGTCCAAACTGGCCCTGTCATGTTATGTCTCTGTAGCGATATGTGAGAGCAACGCTTCAACAGAGATGGACGAGGAGGACGTGTATGACTTTCCTCTCTCTAACAGGAGGGCTGATGAACATCCGGGTGAGATTATATATATATATTTTTTTTTTTTCCAGTGGTTACATTTTAAAAACTTGGTCGTACCAAAATAATAAAACATTTTATCTGGTTGATGTTTCTTTAGAGTCCTTGTCAGACCCTACAGAGGACATTTATGATGTACCGAGCTCTCTTCTGAGGATGACGGAGGATCCCACAGGTAAATCCTGCTTCATGTTATTGTCACTTTTCACCTTGTCAACATTTGACATTTGCGGCTAAAAAGACACAGTTGCTTCATATATACATTTAAACAGAATATGTGTAGAAAAAGCCACATTTCTTTCACCTGTATGTCTCAAGCTGTTTGTTTGTGATTGCAGAGGAGCAGCTGGAGGACGGAGTCTACTGGAGGATATGAGGTCCAGTTTGAGCGTGAGGGACTGAAGGGTAGCAGCAGTCCCCTTATGACTCACCAGTAAACAATTCTTTAAACAGAAGACTTGTGGTTTGAGTGAGACAGACAGTATTTATAAGTGTAATAATTATATTGTTGTATTTGTGACAACATGCACAACCCACGACAACAAGGTTCAACTATGGTATTTATTTTAGCTCCTTCTATACAAGACTGAGAACCACACTGACATTTCTAACATAGAGGACAGGCTGTACAGAAATGTCTACACATATACACATTGTGGGTCAGTCAAACTATGATTCACAATAGTAAAATTACTCATTTACATGTCACTTACTTCACAGTTAAAAGTATACACCACCAACATTGATATTGCTGTGTTACACACTTTGGACTGGTTTGAATGGGAATGGTTTGAACTTGGTTCTAAAACCCTTTCTGGGTTTAATAGAATATAAAAAAAAATTGTTAAAGGCACAATGAAAAGGAAAATAAAACTTAAGCATGCATTTACTGTGAGCACTTTTATATAATCTATTTTTATTCTGGTTACTTCTCAGAGGGTATTAATATTGCAGAACATTTAACAAATGCTTAGTAAATGTAATGAGTGACTGGTCACACAGTGCCCTTTTTTTAAAATTTTTCTTATGAAGTCTCGAGGCTGGTGAAGGCTGGGAAGATGTTTGTAAACAGGAAATGATACCCCAAAAATTACACTATATCTACAACACTGCATTCCCAGAGGATTAAACTGACATCTAATATCACTTGATAGACATATGTACATACAGTAGCAGTATTCATTAGACAAAAATAATATAGTAGTGCAGGTAATGCAAGCAAAAACAAGGCCTATGTAACAAGCAATGCATAAAAGTGATTTGTGCATTCTCAATTATGTTTCTTCTCAAAAGACAAACAAGTGCAATCAAATATAATACAAAACAATAATAAAAGAAGTATTTGGACAATAGATAATTCCACTACAATGAGCAGAAGTTTTAGTTTGGATCAGTTCTGTGTTGTGATCATTGTCAGTCAGCAAAACAATAGTAATAATATTTGGTTCGTAGTATTGTTACACTCACAAAGCACAAAATTGCAAAAGGGAATGATTGGGAAAGTCACTCTACAACTAAACTTATCTGCACATTGATTCTTTTAAATCTGAATTCACCTTTACTGAGATCATTGCTTGTCAATTCAATATTTTTTAACTATTATCTTCAATTAACAACTAACCTTAATTGTTAATAAAATATTATTAGCCCCACAAAAAAAGACACATTTGTTGGGAAAGCTGAGTGTAAGTTGTTAGTGTTTTACAGTACATATTCCAGATCTGACCACTACTCTTTTGAGAAGCAGCAGTATTGCCAGCAGAGGAAACATATGTTTTACAGTATAACTTATATTTAAATTTTGAATCTGCCATTCAGAAGTTGGCTAATTTTAAACATCCACCACTACCAAACTGGTGTTTAACATAGGATGTAGTGCTAAGTTTTAAATGGTACTAGGTTATCTGCTTTGTGGCTGGATTGTCATACCAGCGACAGAGAAAGTATCCAGGCTGGGAGTTAGAATCAGGCCTGGGCCAGGGATTGTTCCCTGAGGAACTCCTCCAGCACGGCGATGATGCTGCAGGCTTCAGGCATTTCGCTGTGCTCTGCCCTGGCGTTCTGCAGCAACACATCCCCATTTCCGCAGCCCTGTAGGAACTGGCAGCAGCGAAACAGGGCGTAGTGACTCATCTCTGCCTGTCGCACAAACCGCTTCAGGCTGTTCATGTCCTGGATGGCCTGCAGAGCCGTGGTTGATAGAGAGGAAGAAAGAAGTTAAAAGGGGAAGAGATCAGGATAAAAGGAAAGAGGCAGCAGAAAAAAACAGTTATATTGTGAATCTGCCAAGAGGAACTGAGAGCTATTGTCCTAAGTTTCTCAATCTTGTGGTCTCGTGGGATTTTTTAGGCTTTTTAAAGAGATTTTTTTATAAGTTTGTAACAAAAATATGTAGACTGGAAGTAACAAAGTATTTTATATTATACCAACAAAATGTTATGCCATCAGTATAATTTTAAAGATTATATAGTCAATATTGAAATTATACACAATTATACACAAAAAAGCTTAAGTAACCCTGTTATAGTCTGTCTGTGTGTTTTCTCACCTTAAGTTTGAAGTTCTCCAGAATCTGTCTGAGCAGGAAAGGATTACAACGCTCTGCAGCATTTAGAAATGCCTGAATCCAGTCGTCACAGAAACGATTACTGACTGAGGGGAAGAAAACATCTCTATTAGACTTTAAACTTGTGCAGACATATACAATCATTTTTCCTCATCAATATGTCATGGATTAGTTACCAGTGTAAGAGAGTGTGGGTGGGCTGGTGGAGCAGTCTATGATCAGGTCAGAGTGTGCGTCCTCTGAAATAGCCTTACACAGAGAAGCTGTCGTAGTGTCTTGTTGGGACAGGCCCTGCAAACTGGCTGCTTTGATGAACCTGGTACAGAATACAACATTTAACAGCTAACAAAGAAATAGTTACATGCTGTACTACATGGAAATAAACAATAGACCGAATACGCAGACTTAAAGGTCCAGTGTGTAACATTTAGGAGGATCTATTGGCAGAAATGGAATATAATACTTTCATTAGTGTATAATCACCTGAATATAGGACTCCTTGTGTTTTTGTTTCCATAGAATGAGCTATTAATATCTACAGAGGAAGTGGGTTCTCTTCTACGGAGGCCGGCATGTTTCTACAGTAGCCCAGAACAGACAAACCAAACACTGTCTCTAAATTGGCCATCCTCGTTTAGTTTCTCCTTCACACTTGGAAGTGAACCTTCCCGGGTGACGCAAGGGAGTTGCAATCTCCAACTACACCGCTAGACACCACTGACTCCTGCGCACTGGTCCTTTAAAGCTGTGTAAGTGTAGTTCAGGGGACTGGCACCGAACTTACCTGTGAACATCAGCCTTTGTCTTCTCATCTGAATTATTGACCTCCACGTGTGTGTGACTCAGAGCCTGCGTACAGAACATTTCATGGCTGTAATGTGTCGTCTGGGAGAAAATGTTTGTCTTAAGCATGAAGAATTTAAGGGCTGAAAAAATATATCAACTGGATTACAGTATTTTGATGCACAGGGTAAATAAAGTAATAATAAGTGCAAGACACTGAGTTTATCAAATGTCTGTGCAATAATAATTTATTGATTTATACCTTATTAAATGAATATTGCACACATCTGAGTGTGTGGATGTTCATTATTTAAGGTATCAGTACCTCTGACAAGCCTTTATTGGTGAGCAGTCTTTGTTATTGGACATTCTCTAGAGGTAAAAAATAACTCACAGCATGCAGCAAGAAGCTGATGTTGCTCTGGACCAGCTGCACCACCCGATGAATGTGCATCACAGACTCCTCGTACCACCGGCTCAGATAGGGACGCACCTCCGTCTCTAGGTTCTGCAGCTGACACACACACACACACACACACACACACACAAAAATCAACATTGCATTAATAATGCAATGACACATGTATAACTTCATTACACTGTTCTTACATTCTCATACCTCTGGGGTTTGCAGGCTGCTATGCAGGCCTTGAACGTATTTATCCAGCTCTAATCTAAATGTGGATCGGGTCAAGGAATTGGAACTATTGCCCGTTTCTCTTTACAAAGTTACAACGATGTAGAAAACAATGCAGGAAAGAACGCTTTCTAATGGCGAGGATGATGTAAACAATAAATGCTGGAGGACACTGGATGATGCTTATAACTAAGGTTGATTTCTGGGGGACACTATGCAATCGACAACTGTGCGCAAAGGATATAAGTTGAGTCCTTTTTCAGAGCCGCCCATAAAGCAGATGACATATCCATTTCCATCAGCATCAGGCTGCTCAGGAGACCTTTCCTGCTCCAGGAGACAGCAGTAGCAGCCGACTGCCTGCTCTGGGATACTGGGAAGAGTAAACAATCAGCACATGGTTAACCAACTTACTTATTCCACCTCTGAACCTTCATTTCCACCTCGTATTACGGAAGCAAAACGTGCGGGATTATGTAAAATTACTACCTGAGTTCCACAGTGGCGATGTTGCCCATGCCACCCAGCAGGGCTCCCTTGCTCAGCCTCCTTGAAATGTAGGTCCGCAGCTCAGGTTCCGCCTCCGACGGCAGACTGCTGTCGATTAGCGTCAGGCTGTGGGCAGGGCAGAAAGTCAGTATGGATACAAGCAGCCAGTAGCGGCAATGAGGAATTTGGAAACCACTCAAGCCAATGGAGAACAGATGGAGGAAGCTGATGACCATTAGCCACAAACAACACAACACACAACTGAGTCACATAGCTGCAACCGTGCCCCTGGGTGTTAAAACACACAGATCAATGACAGAAAGTATTTTTGCCATTTTGCTTCAACACTCTATCCAGACATTAAAAGGGAATTTCATTCACTTTTTTGCCAACGCCACTTGACACATGGAAGTGGAGACCCATTCAGATTGGGAGAGACCTAAAGGCCATGTAACTCAGCAGCACAGCGATGAACAATCAGAACAAAAATCACGAATGAAAACAGCATTGATTCCATGTTGATCTGGATTTCCCCCGTGGCAGCCCGTGGATACACCAATGCACAACAGTGAAAGCCAAAGAGAAACGACCACGGAGAGCAAAGAGAAGGTGGGTGTACGGCTCCTTTGTTACCTAAAGTCATCCTGACTGGTTGTGGAGTCTGCTCGTCTCTGGTTCCATGCCACATTTTCCGCAGAAGCCTCAGATCTAAGACAATTGACAGTTCACTCATCACCTGATTAGTTTTTAATGTAGAAATCTGGTTTTACCTGCAGAGTCACTGGCAGCAGGTTCAGGAACAAGGAACTACAAAAACTAAAGCGTGCTTTAGAGTATTTAGACTGTATAAAAATTAAAACTGTGATACAGGAAGAAACAGTCATTACACACCAAGAACCTGGTTGTATTCAGGGAGGGAAATAGTCATTACATTTTGTCCTGTAGGATAAAGAGTAGCAACTGTGAACAATATAATAAATAATCCAACCACAAAAGTCAACAAAATAAATTAAAATTGTCACATAATTATATCAACATTTCTAACACATATAACGCAAATCATCGTTATTTACATTAGAAACATAAAGTTGTTATCTTATGTCATCTTATGGCAGCAGTTTTAAACAGAAAACTAGAAGTATCGACCATTACCTTGTGCCCTGATACAGATAGATGGTGTAGTAGCAGTTCAGCTGAATCTTCTGGCTGTATCCTGCAATGTCTTCGCTGTCAAAGTCATCTCTCTCTTCCACGTCGATTGAATCCTGGAAGGACGAGGTTTGGGAGGTAAACATGATCCTACACCTGCACGGAGCGAGCTAGCAACCGGCTCGAAGCGACAGAGAACAGGGGGAACTTCTGTCGCTGAGCTGCGCTGTGTTGGTAGTTATGTATTATTGACGTGCTGAGCTCTGGCTGATATTATTAAATATATTAATAAGTGTTACAGCTCTATAATGCAACAGCTTCTGATGTGCACAAGATAACGCCGTTATCGTGTATATGCCGTGTGCGCATGCGCAGGATCTGTCAGCGTACGACTCAATAATGTCCGACTATGATTTTAAATGAATTTGTTGGTTCCGTGTTTTATTAAAATCACCTCGTTTTAGTCGTTAAAAACGGCTGTGTAAATATAAAATATAGTTTTATACCCTTTTAAATTAAAATACTTTAACTAGCGATGGTGTGAGTTGTGGCTATAACGTTATATGTAGACGTTGCAGTATCCATTGTGACGTTAGGTTGCCTTGGTAACCTTGGTTGCGGAGGTCCATTTAGCAGCAGTTAATGCAAATTCTATTTAAGGATTATAACTTAGTAAGTGAATGGTCCAATAAGGTGTTTGTCTTTTTATTAAACAAATAAACACTAGTTTTAGACGCTTTGGGTCACCAGAGGGCGCCTGAGTCTTGTTAGGAGACCCGACGCCATCTTCAATTGCTTCATTTCCGTTCGGTGTGTTCGCTGTGGTATTTCTCTGGGTTAGCGGACAGTGAACTGACTGTGCAGAAATCAGAAATCATGGGAAGGAAGAAGAAAAAGCAAATGAAGCCTTGGTGCTGGTATCCTTTCCCCCCAAGTGTTACCTTTATTAGTGTCATTACCTTATCTTTGACCTGTGTGTACGGCGGTATCCTCTGTTAACTGTAAGTAAACCTTATATTAATTAAAAAGAGTGTAACGTTAGTGTTATCATGCTCTCAGTGTGCAGACAGCTGGACAGATGTTTAACCTGATGTCGGTGTTGCTTATGACAGGGCTAATTTTATTAGTAGATAGATGTTTTTTTGAGTGTGCAAATACGCCGTGCAAGTTGCAATACAGTGGTCCAGTTTCCTAAACCTTAGTCTCAGGTACTGTAACAGAGATTTTGATGATGAAAAGATCCTCATTCAGCATCAGAAGGCCAAACATTTCAAGTGTCACATCTGTCATAAAAAGCTGTACACTGGCCCTGGACTTGCAATCCACTGTATGCAGGTGAGGAAGCCATAATACGAACCGTCTTTATTAAAATCACACTAAATCACTTGTGTATTAACTATAACTTTATCTTTACCTTGCCACGTCGCTTTTATCGTAGGTACACAAAGAGACCATTGATGGAGTTCCTAATGCAATACCTGGAAGGACAGATATTGAGCTGGAAATATATGGCATGGAGGGTATTCCTGAAAAAGACATGGAAGAGAGGAGGAGAGTGCTAGAACAAAAGAACCAAGGTATTTCACACCAAAATACTGTTTTAATCTACCGTCTTGTGCTCTATTCCGGACACTTATCATGGGTCTTCCTTATTTCCAGAGACTCAAAAGAAAAAGCAGAACCAGGACGACTCTGACGAGTACGATGAGGATGATGAGCCTGGTCCCTCCTTCCAGCAGCCTGCTGTAGGCCAGCCCCAGGCGGCCTACATCCCCCCGATGACCCAGCCCGGGATGCCTCCTGGCTCTGCTGCTCCAGGGATACCACCAGGCAGCTACTCAGGTGAATTCACTTCAACTGCAAAACTGTTATAAACTAACAGTAAATAAATAACAGTGTATTAGTGTCATGCTGAGCACAAAGGATGATTATATGATACACAAAGTGGTCCCACGTGTCTTTACAACCTCAGCGTTGGTCCAGTATTTAAAGGTCCGATGTGAAACATGTAGGAGGATCTGTTGCCACAAATACAAGATAATATTCATGGGTGTGTTACGTTTAGTGTGTAATCACCTTAAAATAAGAAGTGTTGTGTTTTTGTTACCTTTGAATGAGCCGTTTGCACCTATAACTCTTCTATGTTGATCCACCATGTTTCTGCAGTACCCAGACGGGCACACTGGCTTCTTGATAGGGCCTTTCATGTTTTTTGGAAGGGGGAAGCTGTATTCAGTTTGTTGCAATCTGTAACTTCACCACTAGATGCCACTGAATCCTGCACACTGGTCCTTGTTGCTGACGCAGTTTACCCTGGTGCTGTTTCCTCCCAGCTGCTTTGCTTCAAGCTGTTAATCTTATTACAGCTACAGTATTAATGAGACTAGATTCAGACAATAGATGTTTTCAAGCAAATCGATTGCCTCGCCTCTTGTGGCCTAAATAATGTGATTAAATTAAGAGTCCTCCCTTTTATAATGTAGCCAACGTGTAATAAACTATTCTTTTATTTTTACACTTGAGTTAAAAAATAATCTCTGTTTTAGGAATTCCCCCAATGATGCCCGGTGTGCCACCAATGATGCCAGGAATGCCCCCTGTACTTCCAGGAATGCCTCCTGGGTAAATACTTTTAAACTCTTTTTAATTAATCCCATCCTTTATATATATATATATATTATTTTAAACATGTATATTTTTTCTCATGTATTTAGGATGATACCAATGGGTGGGATGATGCCTCCAGGTCCAGGGATGCCTCCGATGATGCCCGGTGTACCACCAGGTAAATGCCCTGCCAGTGTACGCCTTCAGAAAGCACTCACTTCCACGTAATTGCTTTAAAGAAGCATTTCACCCGTGGAAACATTCATCTTTATTGAAAGTGGGTTATATATGTAGTCCAAATGTAACATAGATTTTGAATTTGGTGCCT